AGGGGGGAGGGGGGAGGGGGAACATCATCTCCTGTTTTATGTTTTAGTATGGTTTTTATGGTGCTCGCAACTGAATAAGGTCATATGAGTGCCAAGGGGTGGATGTCAACAGAGAAGTCTAAACGAGGAATCAGGATTACTCTTTTCATCTCTCTAGCCTCAACAGCACAAAGTCTGCTTCGACTATCAAAGCACACTGGAAATAGCGGGTCACAAGAGAGTGAAAAACATACAAAAGAAGTAGAGGAAAAAAGTGACGATAGTAAGGTTGCGGAAAGAAAAAGCAGCAGTTCCCCCTATATTGTTCCGGCACAGTATGAGCATGACATTGATAAATCAGCCCATTTACAATTCTACCGTGCACAAGAACATTTTAATATTCCCCCTTTGGGAATGGCCTAAAGACACTTCAGTGAGTGGCGCCGCCCTGGAGGAGGGGGGGGGGGAGTAAAACAAAACACATCGCTGGATTATTGGATCCAAAACAGCAACAACATTAGCAGCATGAAGCTGTTGTAAAGTAATCAGGATGTAACATTATAAGTACCCACTTTCAGTATTCCATAACGAGTACTGTAATGGTCAGTATATCAGAATCGTTGAGAGCAAGAAAAGAGTAACACACTCACACACACACTCATACACACACACATACAGAAAAACAACAAAGATGTCAAGCCTACGGCAGCACAAGTCACAATCATGTAAAGTTGAAGTATTAAACTGTGGAACACAACCCGAGAAGTTGTTTCATTTAGTTATGTTTCATGTTGTTGGTGTTCTTGGACTGTTCACAAGTAGAATACACAACAGAAACCATTAAACAACATAAACCCATCACATGTTACTTCACTTGGCATGTCACGCAATCACTCTTCAGACGTCAACTCATGCACGCACTACCGTTTCCCTTCTACCCGTCAGACACATACTTCAGTGGGTCAGTTGGGCGAGAGAGGTGTGAACGTTATCCCAATAAACAGTCAACGTGATTTACATGTAACGTAGACCTACATTGTGACATTATTATATGTACCCTAATGTTTTGGTGTAATATCATCATGTACCCTACCAGGGAAACTACTATTCATGCATAATGGGAGATCTTCATTAACCCTATCCGTATGCCCTGCGATCATTTTGTACCCCCCGGGTTGTATTCTTCACATTTTAGAATACTTCTAGTGCAAAGATCTCTTTGAAACTTTCAGTATTTCTCTAAAAATCATTTTAACAGACTGCTATGCAAAATGTACAAATTGGATTAACGAGTAAATTTCCTCTTTGAAAGTGGTGGCACAGAGTTCCCCACGTCGTATGGATATGACAGAAAAACACGACGCACAGATAGGGCAAAGGTATCTGTGGTCTATCCTGTTTGATATCAACCACCCACATGTTTACCTACATTAAGGCACTTACCTTTATATGCGTCTCGAACTGACTTGGGCAACAAGTCCACAGAAGATATTTTGACTTTCTCCATCTGTGTTGACCGGGTGACAGAAAAAAGGTTTTATTGAACACTTGTAGGCCGAGTATAGTTTTGATGTTCAAGGGAGTTTGAGTTTAGGTTTAGTAAGGGTTTTACAACACTTGCAATACATTTAGGTCGTTTTTTTAGTAAGGTTTTACGGGGCTCACAACTGCATAAGGTCATATGAGCGCCAAGGGGTGGATGTCAACAGAGAAGTCCAAATTGGAAATCAGGCTTACTCTGCTCACCTCTCTAGCCTCAACAGCACAAAGTCTGCTTCTACCATCAAGGCACCCAGGAAATAGCAGTTCACAGGAGAGTGACAAACATACAAAAGAAGTAGAGAAAAAATGACGATAGAAAGGATCAGGAAAGAAAAAAGCAGCAGTTCCCCCTATGTTGTTCCAGCACAGTATGACCATGACATTGATAAATCAGCCCATGTACAATTCTACTGTGCATAAGATCATGTTAATATCCCCCCTTTGGGAATGGCCTTAAGACACTTCAGTCAGTAGCACTGCCCTGAAGGGGGGGGGGGCTAGACTGTCTATTATACTTGTTCTCATAACTGAACATTCAGGCTGCCATCTACTTCTGTGCCCGGTATGTGGGTTCTGTAGCAGTTGACACATTTGAAGAGCACAGGGGAAAAACGACAAGTCACAAACTGAAAATTGTGAGGGTGCCAATTTTAAAAGCTTGTGGACTCTTCATATCTCTTTGACTGGTGATTTATAGTTAAGTGTAGTTGAATGAGAAATCTAACAACAATAATCAACCAAAACTTGAACAGAAACACAGTTATGAGTAAACAACAAGCGTTCAAAATTGGTACCCTCACAATTTTCAGTTTGTGACTATAGTCATTTTCCTCCTGTAGTCTTCATTTGGTAATAATATGCCTGACTGGGAATTTCATAACAAAACCAAGTGTCTACATATCTGTAAAGTTACTCACCTCAGATATGTTGTTGGCCTGAAAGAAAAAAGAAAGAAGGCTTATGATTTAATTCTTATCACTTTCAATTAAAACAAACATGTCACATCTTGTCAAAAAAACTCTTCAAAACAAAAAGAGACAGTGAAGGAGAAAGAGCCCAGGATCTGTGGCACTGTAAACACTGAGTCATATAATTCATTAGCAAAACAAATGATTAAATACCAGGTAGAAAATCAGAGAATGCTATTTCCTCAGTTCATTGAGAACACCAGAAGATGGAGTGAGGGAGTCGATACATTGCAACAGAAAGAGTTGCAGTTTGCCTCTCGTAGAAAACTACATCTCCCCTCGACACTCCACGACCTCAGTGCTTTCTTGACGTATCTCCATTTTTTGAACAACGAAAATGTGAATCTTCTTAAGCTCACTCTTTGTTGTGAACTGTTTTCACGGTTATTAAAAATGGAGATATGACAAGAAAGGACTGAGGTCGAGACTCAATGGCAACAGGGGATGAAAAAGTAAAACTAAAAAATATTTAGTACCATCACTCCCTAAAGCATTTAGTCCATTGTTGAATCCCCTACGTCAAAAAACAGATTTATTAAACAGACTGGTGTTATTGCTATTAAAGCCAAAGGTAATCAAATGTTTCACCAAATAAGAGGCGTGCTGACAAAATGAGTTACTTTTGGCAATCCACAGATGGGCATATTGGCCAAAAATCGACACTACGGTCAAATTTTAAGAATTTCTATTGATGTCGTATTCTTTAACTATAACATGCCTTTCATTATTTCATACTTATAAATTGTAAAAACTTCACCTATAAGCGTGATGTAATATTTCTTTAAGGCTTGAAAGATCTTGTCAGTTTGTTAGTGCTTGAGCGCTTAATCGGCTGCTTGCACTGTATGCTTCATGGGGGGGCTGAGAATGTTTCGGAGTGTTCTAGTCTGCTGGGGTAATAACATAGTGTACAGCGCATAGAGCCTGCTGTTGAGCGGGGATATGCGTTGTACAAATGCTATTTATTATTATTATTATTATCCGAGAAGTAACTCATTTTGTCAGCATGCTTCACATTAATGAGTTTTGAGCCTACCTCCAGAGCGATGCTGATAGTTCCCCCTTGCACATCGCTGCGACATATACCGATCACTTCGTACATTCTCCCCAGCTCCACTTTTTCCACCAGGTTATCTGTGAGGACAAAACATGACTTCACGTATATATATATATGAGAGACATTGTGGTGGAATCAGGCGCTCGTCAATTTTTGTGCATGTGGAGTTATTGGTATCATCTTAAACACGTAGCGGTTCTATTTTTAGTCCCGGTTTCTACCGGGTTACACGCTAGAGGGTTAAAGCTTGTTCATTTACCTATCTTTTAATATAAAAAATAACCATTGAAGTTGAATAAACGTCGAGATATTTGTGATTGAAGGAGTGGTGGTCGCCTGGTTTCAGAGGTAACATAAGCAAGAAAATGGCCGCCAAAGTTTGGTGACTTCCAAAGCTTGAGAGTCGTTGAAAACTGAATATTTACATTTTTGGAGCCTTTAGATCGTCTTTCAGAAAAATCAACACAGAAATATGTTTTTAGAGGGATGTAAAAGGTGCTGACCTAAAAAACTATAAAATTCAATAAAAATTGCCAACCCATTGAAAAAATGCTGACATCTACAATTTCATTATGTGAGGCACTGTGTTGAAATCAGGCGCTCGTCAAAACAATGGAATCGAAGAAAACGACATTTTTCTTCTCATTTGGTAATTTTTATGGATTTTTATTTTTTGGCTCAGCATCTTTTATGTCCATTAAAACTGTTTTCACTGTTACTAAAAATGGAGATAGGACAAGAAAGCACTGAGGTCGCTATTTCTTCACAGTGGTAGGTCCAACCGTAGGCTAGCTGTATCACTTTGGCACCTGTTTGCAAGTCATGCCATCTGCCTGTACATCTGTAAGAACAAAGAAGAGGAATGAAAAAGTCAACAAGAAAAACTAAGGACAAAGAAGAGGAATGAAAAAGTCAACAAGAAAAACTAAGGACAAAGAAGAAAAATGAAAGCGTGGAAAACACAAACTAAGAACAAAGAAGAGGAATGAAAACGTGGTTTTAGTAGAGGTTTTATGGCGCTCGCAACTGCATAAGGTAATACGAGCGCCAGAAGATTAGAGGTGTTACAAGAGAGTAACGAACATAAAAAAGAAGAAGGGGAGATAAGGACAATTGATGTTTGACAGGAAAGAAGGAGCAAACCACACCAGAGCACCCGCCAACAACCCACGTGAAAGCACAGATGAGACAAACTGAGAACAAAAAAGAGGAACCAAAGTGAGGACAAAGACCAACCTCTGACAAACACAGGCACAGCTTGGAGCCGGCCCTCGCCCAGCACCTCTCTCTGAGCCGGGCCACACAGCCGCACGGGAACGAGCTCTGCCACCACTTTGTCTGCACACACACACAGAAAAACGTTTTAGTTTTAGTAAGAGTTTTACAGCTCTTGCAACACAATGAGATCATACAAGTGCCGGAGTTTAGAGGTGTCACAAGAAAGTTTCACATCTCTACTCACAGCATATCTCAAGTCTATACCTCTGGGCTTGGGATTTTAAGATATAAATAACATTTAAAAGTTAGCTCAGTCAAGCAATGGGATAAAAAATAATAATAAAAATGGTAATTTCTATGGTTCACACTCCCTGGTAGCTCTATACACTTAATAAATAATAACTGAACTTTCTCAACAGAACCCAGCTAAAGAAATAACACAACCTAACAAAACTGAAATACAAAGACGTCATCAAAAAAATGTCAAAGGGAACACCCCCCCTCCGCCCCTTCTGTGAATAATAAATGGAAGAAGCTATAGATTCACAGTAGTGGAGAAAAAAAAAAGATGAAGCCACACAATTAACTTTGCAAATATTTTCCAGTCACTCACTCTGACCACAGGCACATAAAATCAAAACGAACTCGCTCATCCTGAAAATACATCAGCAAAGAAGGGAGATACGATACTCCAAACGTCCAACACAAGAATCCTGACCTGAGAGTATCCGTGACGCTGTCACCTCCTCCAGGACCTCACCACAAAGTCTGCACCGAAAGTCTGACCTAAAAGTGAACAGGAACATTTCATCTTGTTAAATACCACAAAAGTTGAGAGTCAGACATTTATGTAGCGGCTTTGTCGTAGCTTTGGAACTTAGGAGAATGTTACGCGGATCAGGTTTCGAGACGCTTTGGAACTTATAGTAAAGTAACGCAAAGTTCCCGCTTCCGATCCGGACATCGGGGATTGCCTTTTTGATGAGAAAACTTTCTGGGTCTTCGGCATATTGTGGTAGGGAGGCCAGTTCCTTTCCACGCCGTCTTTACTTCCCTAACTCGAAGTCAGGTACCCATTACTGCTGGGTGGGCAGGAGGGGATGGAAAAAATCCATGCTGAGGCTCGAACCCGGACTTACTGCGCTGGGGACGAGCGCACTTATAACCGCTCCGCCACTAATAAAATTGTAGGTTAGGTTAAGATAATATGTGAGGCAGCGTGGTGAAATCAGGCGCTCGTCAAAATAATCAAATTCAAGAAACTGACATTTTTCCACAGGTTTGGGAATCTTTTATTTATTCATTTTTTTGGGCGCGGGAATAGTTTAAAAAAACCTTTAAAAACTAGCACTAAATAAAATGAAGCAATTGTCACTAGCATAGGAAGCTCCCAGCATCTGATGGAACAGGGTTATTACAGGGCTGCCAACCCATCTCCATGGTTTTAAGTAATGACCATGAAGAAAATTAGTAATTTCCCATAAAAATTCATAATAGTGCTCTCATTTTCAAATTACTATATTACAACAAACAATGCTTCTACTCGTGTACGGTATTATTGTGGGCAAGGCTAACTCGCGGCGCCAAGTGGGCCAGCTGTTCCTTTTTTTTAGGGGGGGGGGGCCGGGTTGATTTAGAGATTGGCGGTTTTCCGACTACTGGCAGACGATATACAGGTCTGCACTAAGAATTGTAAAATAAAAAAAGAGCCAAAAATATTTTTTTATGGCCAAAAATCTGCTGACGGTAAAAATTGTAATAAATCGCCTTACGATCAGAATTTCAAGTGAGGCAAAAAATCGTAAAGATTACGAAAAAAAACCCAGAATGGTTGGCAGCCCTGTTATTACCGCCGGATGCTCCCAGCGTCTGATGGAGTTTAAAGACATAACGAGCATCTATATCAGCTAGAGAAAGTACACCTGATGATCTGCGTCTCCGAGGCGCCCGGTACGTGAGTCCTGATGTATCTGTTGCCGTAGTGCCCCTCACACTCCTCCTCAGGACACACATTTTGCTAGTCCAGTTCACAAAGTTCCCGGGGTGGATGGGGGGGGTGGGGGGGGGGGGGGGTGGATGGGGGATTTGCATCAAACATTACTCCCAAGAGGCAGAAGTGGGGGTAAAGAGTTTTGCTTTCTTTCAGAAATGTCAAAAAAAAGAACTGCTGAGAAAGTCTCTTAACCAAGCAATAAACAAAACCTAAGCTTCATTCACACCCAAAGAAGACAAATCTATAGAAATTTGATCACTAAAGCATTAAATAATAGCATCTGAAGTACTGGACTCGGACGGTTTAGCACCAAAAAAAATTAGTTGCTATTTATTGGTCTAGCTACAGTAATAGTATAAACTTTCAAATGGCTATCAGTATAGAAGGGCATTAGACAAAACAGAAAGTTTAACTTATTTTTCCGGGGGAATGACTTATGTTGATTCAGAAATAAGTTCTGGTAGTTTCTTTTTTTTGGTAAAAGTGTTTTACGGTACTCGCAAGTGCATAAGGAGGGGGCAAAAGAGGTGAGGGGGTGGGGGCAGAAGGTGGAGACGAAAACAGACAACAGAACATTGCAAGAGCGCAGGAAAGGGGGAGAAAGGAGACAATTTTAGAGAAAAAATTGTTTCCGTCACTACCCGGATTCAAAGTCAGGACCTTTAAATGAGAGGCGAACATCTTAACCTCTAGGCCATGAGACCCCCTTCTGATAGTTTCTAGTAAGCCGTGAGAGAACTGATCCAGGGTAACGGGCAGGGGGGCGAGGTAGTTTTCTCACGTGTATTTTGCTGGTCCGGACACGCCAGTTGTGATGCCCACTAGTCGCACAAAGCCGGGGTAGTCCAGGAATTTGGTCAGGTCCGAGACTCTCTCTACCTGCAAGCTGAGCAGGGAAACCACCACAGTTGTAAAGAATGAAGTGTAAAACTGTGAGAAAAACCTGATGGATCTCTTTAAAGAGGGAACATTCTCTCTTTCTTTTACTCTTTATCCCCCTCCCTTTCTCTCTCTCTCTCTCTCCCTCCCTTTCTCCCTCTCCCTTTCTCTCTCTCTCTCTCTCCCTCCCTTTCTCCCTCTCTCTCTCTCCCTTTCTCTCTCTCTCTCTCTCCCTCCCTTTCTCTCTCTCCCTCCCTTTCTCTCTCTCTCTC